GGCACTGAAAAAATCACCAAGCAACTGATTGAACGGAAGGAGTTGCTTCATAATCTTCAGCTGCTTAAAATAGAGTTATCTCAGAAAAACTTGATGATTGACAACTTGAAAGTAGAATATTTGACTAAGGTAAGAAACACTATGCATCCTTCTTGACATAGTCTTTTTTTTGTGTGTGTGTCTGGTGTTTTTAAAGTGCTGTACAAGTGCAAACTTTATTTCTCAAAATAATATATTTTAATTGAATGAGCATCTTATTTCTAATTTCTAAATAAAAAGCTCACAGAGGAAAAAAAAGACACAGAAAACTCTGGGGCCTTATCCAAGATCTTATAAATAGAAGAGGTGGGACTGAATAGAACTCTAGTCTCTATTTTCTTAAAACAAAGGAAAAAGACCTGCTTTCTTACTAAAATGATAAATGATTTTGGCCTCGATACACAAAACTTAATGGAGTGTTAAGCTGAACTTGAGAAACACTTGAAAAACCATCTGAATGCAATTTAGTGGTTTGTCAGTGGAGAAATGGCTAGAAGATAGTGTCATGCTAATAGTGGGAAACTGTAAATTTCAGTCCTATGCAATTTCAATTAAGATGTGAAAATACAAAAGATATGAAAGTATTGCCACAATTGTGTGCAGGCCACACTTACAACCCCCTGTATGTTAATCATGGTTAGAACTGGCCTGTTGCTCTAAATTTAAGCCTCATTTGAAATTGGTTGGACTAGTAATAGCTGTTTGGCTGAAAAATATCTAACTGTAGAGTGAAGGTTTTTTTATTATGAGTTCAATAGGGAAAAGTCCATATTGTGTTTTATGAAGCCTTAGTGTGTTTGAAGGTTTTGTTGAACAATAATGTTACTGTGTTTCTCTGGGAATTGAACTTTTTTTTTTTCCTTTCTTTTAAATTGCTCTTTTGTTGCTTTTATCAATATTATCTTGGTAACTTTTTTATTTCTATGTATATTTTTTTAGATAGAAGAGCTAGAGGAAAAGCTTAATGATGCAATCCATCAAAAGCAGCTCTTGTCTTTACGACTGGATAGCCAGCTGGCATTACAGCAAGAAGATGCGAGGTATGATGGAAGTGAAACAACAAAAAATGTCACCTTTAATATGTTATTGACATGAAATCATGTTAAATCACACTGTAAAATGTGATGATTATGAGCTGCTGAAATAGTATTACTTTTGCAGATTATATTGGCTTTTCCCTTCTAAACTTTGAGCTTATGGCATATAGCTAAATTTCAGTTCAGCACTCGCTGAAGTTTGTGGGTTCGTTGAGGGGTGGGAGAGGTGTTGTGTTTCTTCCTTTTTTTTATTATTATTTTTTATTAACACCTGGATTCAAAATCTGTTTGAAACCTAGAGTAAGATTTTTCTTAAAAGTATTAAAGAGCACTAAGTAGGTGGAGGGGGAAGGCTCTCAGTTTAAACTGAGCTTTTAGTAGCCCTGCAGTCTAGTGGATAACTTGAGGAAAGGTAAACAGAAAATGTGTGTAACAGGCACTTTCCCTTCCGATGAGGGTTGTTTGTTTGTCAGATATGCTTTCAGTTGCTCAGGTAGAGACTGACTATTTTTCTTCATGTTCTGAAATATTTTGCAGTGGATCTTAACTGAAAATAGCCTGGCTAGCAGGCTCCTTCTAATTATTTCATTAATTAATTGTTTTAACTCTATAACAGGGTTATGGAGGGAGAGCACAGTAGTCTCTAATTACACTAAAGGACACACAAAGGATGTGACTAACTCAAAATCTTATTCTGTACTAAGCCTAGAATAGCTACAGACTGTGAAAGCAGAGATGAAATCAATTTTCATCTTTGAGTCTTTCAGCTAAGAGCAACAGACTGTCAGAGAAATGTCTCTAATTCTCTGTACTTAGTTGCACCAGGGTGAAATTTCATGTTTGTCTATTTTTGAATTATTTGGGTAGTGCTCAGCAAAAATCTACTATCTGATTAACTATTATTAAAATCGATAGGTATAAGAAGGTTGAACCAGTTTTCCAAATCCTTTTGTTAGTTGCTTGTCTGTTACTTCGATTTCAATCCCTGTCCAACAGAATCTTACACTATGTGCAGAAAATGCGCTTATGTGATTGATTGCTTTGGTGACTTGTAGGGTTCTTTTTGTTTATTAAATAGTGAGGCAGGCAGGTATTGTTGTATAATACTAATAGAGTTAAATTTTTTGAGTATTACTTTTTAAGTAAGCTCTATGTTCTTTAGAGAAGCAAAAGCATCTAAATTTGAATAAATATTTTCGAGAGCTAGGGCTAAAAGAAAGAAAGTAACAAACAAACCCCTGTAAAATGTCTCTAAGTGAACATCTGTTTTCCCTTGCTGTGTAAT